GTTGCAATATTGTTTTCTTAAATTGACCCGTGTATCTATTCCGTGGCGAATAATAAGATTTCTTTATTAAATCATCTTATATATCCTCTTAAATGCGTCATTATCAGCGTTATTTAACTTTGATGAAGACGATGTGACGTAGCTATTTTAATCGTTATACAGTTGACATATAATTTTTATAATTTTTACAAATATTTGCGCGATATCGAAATACTTTCGCGATTGCACTATTTTCAGCAACCAAGTTACAAAAAGGAGAAAAAATATAGGTCGATGAAACAAGGGAAACAATTGGCTGACGCAAAATTCTCTTCGACAATGTTAATCGCCAATTGGGGGATTTAGGCGAGAATCGTTTAATAAATTAATTAAGGAGAGACCTCGGCGGAGCGTGCACTATGAACCGAGACGAGATAATCCAATAAATCATTTCGCAACATTTCGTTATAATTACATCAGCTCGTTCTAAACGAGCGATGATAAGGACATCGGTCTCTCTTTTTTTTCTCTCATCCGCTACTAAACGACTTCTTGTTTTCATCTCGTTATTTATCGCAATAGGACTTAACGCGTTGCGATTTATCTAATTAAGGGTATGAAGCAGCGTAGATTAAAAAAAAGTCAGATAAATGAAACAGCTTTTTATAACATATATATATATGAATGGACGTTGTCCATTAAATTATTCGATATAATAGGAGATAGAGTTGACAATAATATACTTTATTTATATGTGACTTATACTTGGAAGCAAAATTATGCTATATATGATTTCAGAGAAACGCGCGATAAAATCTTAACAGTTATAACAGTTATGACGTAAAAAAAAAAAAAATTGTCAGAACGCTCAATAAGGTAGAAAACGTGCATCTTTTATCGTCGCTCGTAAAGACGAGATCGAATGAAATGGACCCGAAGTAACAAGGCATTTTCTTCTTCTGGCGAAACGAACGACGGCAAAGTGTAGATATTTCCTAAAGCACGATCGCGATGCGGCATTCGCCGTTCGATTGCACGGAGGCGAAAATCCATCTTTCGCGAAGCGACGAGTAGCTACTGCTACTTCTCCCCTAGAAGACTAGAAGCCAAAGAGGCAGGATAGTGTAGTGCGAAACGAAGAAAGAGAAAGGGAGAGAAAGAGGAGGCTGGGTGGCGAGCAAATGGAAGTCAGTGAATCACGAAACAAGCGGTATGTAAATCCGCGTAACGGTGCCGTTTATTCGTCCCATAAAAAGGCCAATAAAACCTTCTTTCGCAGTGGAAGATATACTCACGGGCCCTCGTCTATACCCACCCCGTGTTTCCGTTCGCCGCCCTTCTTACCCCCGGAAAAATGACAGAGAATAAATCGCCGTTGGGATAAAGAATGCGAGAACCTGGTTGGGGGATGAAAAGGGAGGATTGCCGCTCGCTCTCTCGGTCTTCTAGTTATTTCGCTCTCAAGACGACGGATTTTCTCCAGAAACCGAGAGAAATCGTTCTACATATTGTCTGGAATTGATCTCGCATGTCTCGCTTCGTCCCTGCACGAGGAACCGGTCGTTCCTTTTTTTTTTTTTTTTTTTTTTTTTATCCGGCTGCGCGATACTCATTCGTGATTTTCATGTCGACGAAAGAGAGTGACGAATGAGCCGAATGATTGTGGAAATTTCCGTGAAACGAGAGAAAATACAGGCAGTGTTTCTTCAATTAAGCAGTCTCTTGCGCATCGCGACTCAACTCTAGAGATTTATCGCGACTAACGATCGAGATTTATGTGCCGAGATATATTTAGAGACGACCGCAGCTCGAATTAGTCTTCAGTTCTTATTTTAATCGCGATTGGTGAACATCAGAATAAGAGATAAAAATTTTATAATAATTGTTTTTATACTATATAGAAAATGGGGAAAATTATTCCATAAAAGAACTTATGTGATACTTTTTCCAGAATAACGTGTTAATCGAAATATAATAAACCATTATGTAAAAATTTGAGTTTTAATTGTAAAATTTTTATACTCGGAGAGAATTTTCTCTTATAGAATTCATCCTGAAAATCATGGTAATCGTAGGACAATATAATAACGAAAGAATTTTATAAGAGTTTCTATGATTAAAATTTACCACAATAAATAATATCAATATCTACTACAATAAGATATAAAATATGTTCGATTAATTTTAATATGTACACATTAATATTTTTTATTGTGGTAAATATGTATTACTCAGAAAAACTAATAAAATTCTTCCAATATATTGTCCCTCGATTACCACGATTTTCAGGGTAAATTCTAAGAAAAATTCTCTCTGTATAACTAATTGTGACATTTTTATATAATTATCTAAAAATATGTTTCGAATATTAAAATATCCTATATATCATGTAATTTATTCCACATGTATTAATTCCATGTGGCTTATTCGTTGTACACGTATAATAATTTGCAACAATTCTTGGGAATACGGTGGCGATTTTCCCGCGGTAAATGGACATGAAAGACGGTAAGGGACGAGTGGATAATCCGACGGGTACCCCGTTTACATTGTAAACAACGTCTTGGTGTTGGAAAAATATTATTGTAACGGGGGTTGGCAGCTCTGTCTGAATCCTCGTGAAAGCGATACAGCAGTTTATATCGGAGCCAGGTGCCAACTTTCCGAGATAATGCTTAAGGCAATGAAGAAAGAAAATATAACGGGTGGCAAGCAGAGTAGCGCGGCTGCCAACTGTACAACTGACATCGTAATTACTATAAATTGCTACATCATCATGTATTTGTATTACGATGAAACCGTTTTGCTGTTACATAACGCTGATATTAAGTCAATGATGTGATTAATTCGTAGTAATTTACAAGTGAGATAAAACAAGTAATTAACTATATTTTTATTATTCGTTGTTAAATCGCTTCTGTATACAAATATAAAGTAAAAATCCGCGCGAAATGCTTCGTCGTTCGAGAAGTAAAAATATAATTAGTGTTCCTACTTTGTCTTTATTTACTCCGAATGAGGGAAAATCGATTTCGACGACACGACAAGCGACAGCACGTGCCACCCATTAACTCGAAGCAGATTCTAGCCAGAGTTTTTCGAAACATAAATCTCGACTGCGATATGTATGGCGGCGTTTTTCCCTTTATTCTCTCCAATCCTTGCAACATATTTCACTTTCACAAGAATTTAGTTGCACAATAGACTTTCTTATATAATTATTACGTATGCGAATGCATCGGTTTAAACCAGCCTATACAACATTTTAATCAATCATACTAGTGGCCATTTAAATATGGCATCAATTGATAAAAGTTATGATTTCGGATTATATGCAAATTGCATATTTGTTATTTTTGCATATTCTATACAAGAATATTAATAATGCGAATAAATTATCTATGTTTTCAATTAATAAACATTAATTAGTTGAAACTATTATAATGTTTTCACATTATCAATGCTGTCGTAGAATGTGCAAAAAGTAACAAGCATGCAATTTGTATATAATCTAAAGTCTAGTTGTGATATATAGAAAGAAAATTATTTCGATAGTTTATTAAATAGAAAGGATCCGTTTATAAAAAAAAACTCACGATTAAAAAATAGAATAAAAAAAAATAGAGATTGCCATCGAATGTAGATCAAAATGCATCTTAATAACGTGCATATAAAAAGCAAATACGGTTTACATCCAAAGTCTAGTTATGATATATAGAAAGAAAATTATTTCAATAGTTTATTAAATAAAAGAATCCGTTTATAAGAAAAAAAACTCACGATTAAAAAATAGAATAAAAAAAAATGGAGATTGCCATCGAATCTAGATGAAAATGCATCTTAATAACGTGCATATAAAAAGCAAATACGGTTTACATCCAAAGTCTAGTTATGATATATAGAAAGAAAATTATTTCAATAGTTTATTAAATAGAAAGGATCCGTTTATAAGAAAAAACTCACGATTAAAAAATAGAATGAAAAAAAATTAAGATTGCCATCGAATCTAGATCAAAATGCATCTTAATAACGTGCATATAAAAAGCAAATACGGTTTACATCCAAAGTCTAGTTATGATATATAGAAAGAAAATTATTTCAATAGTTTATTAAATAGAAAGGATCCGTTTATAACAAAAAAAACTTACGATTAAAAAATAGAATGAAAAAATTAAGATTGCCATCGAATCTAGATCAAAATGCATCTTAATAACGTGCATATAAAAAGCAAATACGGTTTACGTTGAACGCGCGGCGCAATTAATATAAATCTCACGGTCGCCGAGACGCGCGACAAATCCCCGTTGTCAATTTCTTGCGCGTATTACCCGGCAGATATAATATTGCGAGCTCAGAGCGGGGTATGAAAGCCATTCCTCGTCCGGGTGTTCGAGCGGAGGATGCTGGATGAACGCGAAGAGGAGTTGGAAGTTATCCCGTTCTCTTTCGCTCGTTCGCTCGCCTCTTTCCGTTCTTCGCCAGTAAAACCGCTCGGGGCGTGCTAACGAAACCATCGTAAGCAAGCACTCTTCGACAAATTCATAAAGTACAGTTCATAAAACGTGTACTTAAGGCGCGGCGGGGTGCAGACGGAGGACAGCGGAGCTCGTAACTCCGACATAACCGACCGGCGTGTTAAGTTGAACGGATAAAACGATGGCGCGTGCAGCGTGAATTTTCTCGAACGCCAAGTTCAAGTATTCTTGAATATCGGGGTATATATACTTGGGCGTGGTCGGAGAAATTCCGAAACGTTCGTTATTAAAATTAAATACGGGCTTGAAAAATTTATTGTCAATATTAGCGCTGAAGGGAGTTGCTAAATTTTTTCAAGTTTGTCCCACGTAAACAGATTAATTCATCATCTTTTGGATAACATCGCGCGATCAAATATTAAAATATGACATACCTTTCTCCATGTATATACAAGCATCGCGCACAACAGCGAATAATATACTATCGCAGGCGAGATCACTCTCGCTTCCTGCTTTTGTAATAATCGCAATAATTCCTACCTTTGACGCGGTCTCCTCCTCTTCCTCCTTCGATGTCCCGCGTTGTGGATGTCCCGAAGGAACGACTCTCTGAAACAACAGATAGGTTCATTGTTAGACAACAAAGGCGTGATCCATTAATCGTGCGTGTATAGTAAGCAGCATAATGACGGACAATAATGCATATATGAAACTTGCATGCAGCAAATTCCAGCGGATGCATCGCGGATGCTGCGCGTAACAGGATACAATGCACGAGATGCATGGATGCGGCGTTTTCACAGAAAAAAAGGAATCCTTGATTCAAGTATATTTTTATTCTTGAACGCTATTTGATTGATTTAAGCATATAGAATGCTCTTTGTAATCACAAATTTTCATTTGCCTTAATAATAAATAAGTTTGTGTAAAGTATATTTTATCCTTAAGATATATTCTTGTTTTAAAAATCGCATATGGTAAAAACAAACTTAGTCACATTTGAACTAAGAATTATTATATATATTTGAAAGTACCGCTTATATCCGATGCACACTTGTCACTTGTCCCTGCAATATTTATAAGTAAATTTCAGCTTCAACCAAGAATATTTTGCACTTTGTTTTAAGGATAAATTATCCTTTATCCAAAATTATTTATATTTGGCGCTATTATAAGGATAAAATATACTCGAATCAAGGCATATTTGCATTCTTTCAAGGATACTGTTTTTTCTGTGTTGATACGTCGACATATTGTGTGTATTGTTGATACGGGAAATAAGAGGAAAATTATTACCGAGATTATGTAGAAAAGAAAATAAATTACATGTAAATTATTCACAGAAAAAAAGAAATCCTTGATTCAAGTATATTTTTATTCTTGAACGCTATTTGATTGATTTAAGCATAGAATGCTCTTTGTAATCACAAATTTTCATTTGCCTTAATAATAAATAAGTTTGTGTAAAGTATATTTTATCCTTAAGATATATTCTTGTTTGAAAAATCGCATATGATAAAAACAAACTTAGTCACATTTGAACTAAGAATTATTATATATATTTGAAAGTACCGCTTATATCCGATGCACACTTGTCACTTGTCCCTGCAATATTTATAAGTAAATTTCAGCTTCAACCAAGAATATTTTGCGCTTTGTTTTAAGGATAAATTATCCTTTATCCAAAATTATTTATATTTGGCGCTATTATAAGGATAAAATATACTCGAATCAAGGCATATTTGCATTCTCTCAAGAATACTGTTTTTTCTGTGTTGTTTCTGGGAATTTCGACAAAGTAACAATCGTCTATAAAGATCACGGTTCTCTCTCCCTTTCTCTTTTTCCTTCTGTTACAAAGAAACGATATTAATTACCGTTCGCCTCTCTCACAGTCGGAAGAGGTCCGGATAATATTCGTCACTAGCGCGCACGGGGCCCCGGGGGCCCAAAAAACATTTATACGGCACTCTCGCCACCAGGGCATAAGCGAGAGAGATCAAGAGTGTGTTAAAACGCATTCTAATGCGTGAATGCGTGCGTGCTGGTCCGCGTGAGCGTGTGCACGATGCTTTAACAAGGGTCTGACAGGCTCGTTGCCGTTGTTATTTATCGGTTATGTCGGCGCATCTCCCATCTCGACGAGAAAAGCCCCCTATCTTCTCCTCCTGCACCCCGATTCTCTCCCTCTCTCTCATTCTACCGCACTCATCCCTCGTATACAAGTCGCATATACGCTCGTGCATGCATACCAACAGCGTAACCAAGCGAGCTCCACGCGAGGATCGTACCCCGTCGATGATGATTAACATGAGATGAGCAATGAGAACATAATTGGTCCTACCGTAAAAGATTTAGCGCCGCAAATATCTGCATTTACATACGAGCAAATTAAAGTTGCAAATTACCGTTATATGCGATTGATTTTATCGAACGTCTTTTGATAAGAATCTCTTCTCAATGAGAGCAAGATTTGTTGTCCGAATTGTATTTGAACGGATATTGACTTATATTTACACAGCAGGTATAATTATATTTTTTTTTTTTTTTTTGACAAGAAAGATGGATTTCCTCATATTTTTTTCAAAGAGTCTCCAATTATAATTTTATAAAGTCTATATAAGACGTTTACTGATTTCAAAATAGAAAAAGGTTAAGAAAGAATATGGAGAAAACAGTTTTAATCATTATTGTAATCAATTTTGAAAGAATAATTATTATACATAATATTATCTTGTGTTTGAAATAAAACAGATTTACGTTATTCCCACACTGTTACGCCATTGGTGAGCTTACGTAGCTTATGGAGAACTGCGATGGTAGACGAATGCATATCTCTACGGCGGATAGTAGTTAGAGCATGACGTTAGAGCGCGGAAAGAATAGCAGGGTGGTTGTGAAAAGGAGAGGGAGGTGAACTGTTAGCCGCCAGCACGTGTTAAAAACATAAGCACTTACATGAATGGGGTAAGCGTTTATTTATCGCGCGCTCACTCCCTTTTCCCTACCTCATCCCCGGGGATAATTCGCCCGGCGTATAGCTACATCCGTGTAGCTGCTCCGAGAGCAGTTGAGATTATCGCGTGGAAAACCGCCGCGACGATCGTCAAAACGTTTCTTCCCGCCCACTGAGTGATTTCGGCACTTAGCGATGGCAACGATATTGAAGAATGATGGAATTACGACTTCCAGTCGGTTCCTTGGATGGCATCACACTAATTTCAAGAGTGCTCGACCGAGTGAAGATTGCTTTATTTTTGGAAATTATCTCAGAGTATAGCTAGTATATATATCTAATTTTATTATATAAAAAAATAATGCAGCTGCCGCTTATCTTTTTTAAATTTAAAATTAATTCAAAGATTCGGAATGTAAAATTAAACTCTGCGAGAAATATTAATCAGAGAAACTCTTAATAAAATTTTTCCGATACCATGTCCCACGATTACTATAATTTTCAGTTTTCAGGGGAAATTCTAAGAGAAATTTTCTCTGTGTAAAATAATCTGTGATATCAATATTATTATAGATATAAAATTTTATTTTAGTCTCATAATTCCTTTATTTATTCAAAACTAATCTCAATTCATTGTGTTAATTTATTTTTCCAATTTTTTAATATTATTATAATAAACCAATGTTAAATTTAGATATATCTATACATATTGATATAATAATATATTTTCTAATATAATACTTTAATATATACATACATACCTAATATTTTTCTCAATAAATAAAATGATAAGGTTTAGATTTTCTAGACGATTCGCAGCAACGATCACCGAATCACCGCCGCGTAAAAGGACGAGAAAACGCGGTTAACATCAGCTGGACGGATTTATCAGGGACGTATCCCGTGGGAGACGTCCCGACAGCACGTTGACCGACAGCTCCCGCGGGAACGCGGCCGCTCATACATGCGAATTGGGAAAATTTTCACGCTGGAAACGCGGATTGTAACAACAGCAATCACCGACCGTAGACTGCGGTAGGAGGAGGCTCGTTACGGTTTTAATCGTTTCATCAACTTGTTGTTATCGCGCTGAATGGCCGACCATTTTACAGACGATCGGCCGACGATGGAGAGCAACTTGTTTTGTCCCTCGTGCGTTTTCGGTCGATTTGCATGGAATACGAGACCGACGATGTGCAAAAGTTGAACGAAACATGTATGGTAATCGTAATATATGAATTATAGTCAGAAGCTTAGTATATTTCTACAAACTAAAATTAAATTATTAAGCATTCTTCTGAAAAGATTCACGATAAAAGTATTTCCACAGATAATTAATGCAAATTAACATAGTTGCGGGTAGCACAATGATTTATTTTTCTCTAGATTATCTTCATCTGTGATTACGTACAAGGTGTTCCAAAATTCATAAGAGGAAAAAATTTTGAAAAATATGTCAACTGCAGGAATTGATCTGAGATTAAACGTCCATTGTGTTCGGTCCCATGTGCATCGCTTAACAATGCTTAATACGTACATCTGCGACGTGTCTGTTAATACGAGTCTGCATAGTTTCTAGGGACTTAACGAAGTCGTAAATCGCGTGGGATGTCCTTTTTTTCCGGGAAAGATCGTGAATCTGCGCGCGCGCGAAGTGCTATGGTCAACCGAGGCCGACATTCGATCTGTTTTCGAATTAGATGGGGAGGTAGTCGCTCGTAAAGATAATGCTACGCGCATGAACACGACCGAAGTAGATCCTATCTTGTAGAATTATGTCTTTATTAGGCGGAATCTCTGTCCGATGACCATAACGGTTTCCCGAGTTGTGGAGAACCGCAGGTGTGCGGCAGGACGAAAGCGAGAGGGATACGTCAGGATTTACAAAAAAATGACGGAATACGGGCGCGGGAAAACGAGTCGAGAATCTTCTCGGGAATCGAGAATATATCTTTCAACTGAATCTTTTTTTATTTATTGTTATAGATTTGCTGCCCTATAATACTGTCATCAATCGAAGACAGCTATAGCATATTTAATTTTTTTATGTTAAAAATAATAAATTTAAAAGCTGTAAGAGTTCAAGAAAAAAGACTAACTAAATAATATTTATGTATTCTAATAATATTATAATTTTGTCTCCGAAAAGAGAAGATACATATAAAAATGTTCAACAACATTTTATGTAGCAAAATTTTATATATATATCGTTTTTAAGACACACATTGTTTTCAACACAAAATTAATTTTCTGAACATTTATAGGTTCTTTTATCCTTTTATATTCTTCTATATTATTAATCATCTACTCTATACAATCAATAAATATGATAATCAATGTACGGAACCGTCATTGCTTTGATACTTTCAAAAAGCGTGAATATATTTTATATGTGTATTTGAATTAAGCTGATGCAGATCGCGGTTACTCAATTTCTCTATTGACGGCTGAAACTACAACCGATCGAGCAGAAGTGAGATTTTCATGGCATTATTGATAAAGTATGACTAATCGCTAATCATGTTGTACACCACTGCCAATACGTACGACTGACAGCAATATCCATCTTGCTTTTTTGTTTTTTTTTTTTCGATAGAATAAAGTGGGCTCTCGTTTTGCTCGATAAACTCTTCGCGATCTCTGTAGCTCAATATATACTTATATTACTTATTGTTAGCTTGCATCAATTGAGAAACAAGTTAATGGCAAAATGAAAATCTTGAAATAGACATATTCTAAAATAAATAAATAAATAAATAAATCTAATACAAAGATTAGAAATTGCGAGATTAAATCTCTCATATAACGCGATCAAGTATAAAAGTTAGAAAATTGTTATGAGAAGGTTCTTTAGACAAATAAAGGCATCAGTAAAAATTGAATATAAATTCTAGAAATAGAATCAAATATATTTTCATTATAGTTTCTTCTCTTTAGATTTTCAAACGATTAAGAAAGAGTGAGATCTCTTTTAGTCTATTCTATATCGTCGATCGGTTTTGAGAGATCGTGAGAGTTGACCATAAATTTATCGTTTTGCAGGTACCGTTAGTCCTTCGTGTCCAACCAACTGAATGTATTTTCGTAAAATATATTTTTTTTTTTGATTCCCGCGCGCGTCGAGGAGCTGGGGAAAGGAGAAAGAAAAAATATAGCAGTATCCTAGAAACGATGCGAGATTATAGTGAGCGATAATCGGTGAAATTAGGAAAGTCTGGGTATGTCATTTGTCACCTATATATACCGGCTCTATCTTCGGACGATCTGTGATGAGAGTTGTGACACTAAAGCCTAATCGTCTTCGCGCTCTTATTGTTAGATCATATGTCTCGCACAATCAAATTAAATTTGAAATTCAAGAACCTCAAGGATTTTTAGCGTGCAGTGAATATTATAATAACGAAAAACATATATCGAGAGAGATATTACATATGGCTGTACTATATTCCAACATAGTGCAAATAAATTCATAAATCTATCCGAAATTTATTTCCTATATAATTTTCAACTTCAATTTATTCATTTTTTCAATTTTTTTAATTTTTTAATTTTTTTACCCTACAAGATTTTGATAGATTTATATAGGAATTGAGCTTCTATCTAAATAGATAGTAAACAAACAATTTCTCACTTAGAATTAAAAAAAGTAAATTTCATAGAAAATAGATTAAATAGAATTGTAAAAGAGGATAATCTGGCTGTTAAAGTTTTAAATATTAAATTGAAAATTCAACAGTCAACAGTAGAAGTTTCGATTCAGGTATCGTTTCACACGATTTATATATCGATACACATCAATTATGTAATGCGGTCGTTGTATGCTTTATTAGACTAAAGTCATTTATCTCATTTCAATGGAGCCTTCATTGACCATTGCTCCGAATTCCGAATGTCCCTGCTGGTCTTTTGACAAACGAATAATACATTAGGATAAACTGCCCTGTAAAATTTAGAGTGCATGTAATTTTCAATTTTTGAATAGCTAAAAGGCTTTATTTGCTACAATTTTTTTGAAGATGCCTGCTGCGATACTTTTATTCTTTTGTTCCCTTTTTTACAAACAGTTTTGCTAAATTATGTAGTTCTTTTGTAAAAATAAATCTAACATAACGACTGACCCAAGATATTAGCGAAATTTGAATGGACGTTTTGTAATAATTGTGCATGCTTTTTTCGGTCATAATCCTTAACATTTACATTTTCTCGATCTCCTCAGAGTTTCTTTTTCTATTATATATATAAATTATTTCAAAAATTTTTTGAAAACTATATAAACGTTACGTTAATAGATTAATATAACTATATTCATGTTTTTATAATTAATATGGAGATATACAGAAATATTCAAGCAAAAATTTGATAATTAAGATAATCAATATCTTATTTATCCAAGCAAAGTCGCAGTGTTGACAACTCAATAAGCTAATTAGTTGGGCGTTTTTATTTGCGGGGTCCGTACAATAAATATTATGTATACCGGTCTCTACTTCGCACGCACGCGGCCGCTTATATTTTAGAGTCGATACGCAATTTACATACTATACTACAGAGTAATGCGAGTTATGCAAATTTTAATCAGCAATAATATACATACCGGCCGGCACCTGCGCACCGGACGCGCATCTTATCCTTCCTCTCGTGTTATACACACCATGGGCATCCTACGCCATTGGCAGCGAGCAATCGAAACGCCATTAGTACTCGATGGCATTAAATGAGCGTGTTCTCCAAGCGGGTAGCCGTCTCCTTCGCGCGCGGCGGCTTCCACGAAAATTAACTACTCTCACGGTGCTTCGATTTGAAATTCATTAATTCCCCCCTTTTCTCCTTTCCTCCCCTTCCCCGGATGTGCACGCACGGTGTAACCCAAACAACGATCACCCGCGGTGACCGAGGATCATTAACGCGCGCTTCGCCTCGTTTCGGATTACATATTGGTTTTCTATGTTACAAGCGTAAAACTTGTCGTTGCGGTTAAAAGCAATTAATATATTAAGATATTACGTTGTTACGCATAAATATGATCATTAAACAAATTAATAATAATATTTTTATAAATTACGAAGATATCTCATAGTTTTAAGATCTTTGAATCGATATAATTGCCGCGTATGTATAAATTAATTATCTAATTAAATTGGTGTATATCTATATATATGTGAAAATTATACATTTCAGAATATATTTAGTAAAAATATTCTCGGTATCAGATGCCTATCTAATGTGTATCGAATACTTATGGCATAGCTGGGCGATAAGAAGGATATCCACTAATTTTACGTTAGCTGCACTCACAATGGTGTATATGAAGCTGGCGTCTTTCAAAATTCTTAATTATATATATGAGTTTACATAAAATAAGACACCAGCTTCATATACCCCCATTACGGCTTTGGAAATGTTATAAAATAAATTTCTCACTCACCGATGCAATATCGGAGTTCGTACACAGCCCATTAATCTGAAAACAAAATATTCAAATCATGTATATCCATGTATACAATTTATTTTGCATACAATTTTTATGCATGTAAAATATTAAAAAACATTTATTTTAAAATCCTTGCTTCAAATATTTATAATAATTAAGATTTTTATATAATTATATAAATTATTTTATACAGAATTATTTATTAATAAATACTTAACAAATATTAATTAATAATTAAAATTTATATTTTATATAAGATATTTATATTTATATAAGAGACTGTTTATAGTTATTATATTTTATAAAAGTTTACACATTTAATAACATTTCTTTCAAGAAACACATAAACTTTGTTATATTTGTTTAAATATCTCTTATTTAAAGATCGTGAAAAAAATTTGCGCATATTGATTACTTTGAAATAATTCTTATCGTACATTAGTAGGCATTTCCCTATATACATATATAAATTATATTTATTTTATATACCTCATAGTTGTTCCACTGTTGCCCGATGCCTCCCTGGACCTCCTCCTCCTCTCATGATAGCACTCGCGACACTCGCGGAAACACGAATAATTACGATCGCCCGACACTTTACACGGCACTCTCGACACGAGAAACTTTACACGGCACTCCCGACGCAACGCGTGGCTCACACGCGTATTTTGCATACATTGCACGCACAATGAAAAAAAAAAAAAACGATGCAAAAATCTCGCAAACTCGCGCGCAGCTTGCTATCTGTAACAAATAAAATGCATATCTATTTTTACATACATGTATATTAGAGCAATCTTATTATTTTTGCATTACAACATACATGATATAAATATGTAAGCTAGAAAGCAATTTGTCTCAAGGCATTTTCGTTGCTTTAATGACCAGAACTATTAAACTATCCATAACTCTAAAACTATTAAAAATAAAACTGGAACTCTCTTAATTATTTATGAGTTTCCATGAAATCAGACGTTAGCTTCACACACATCTCGCAACAAGATCTCGGCGATGACCTAATCGTCTTATCTAAATTAATGTAAATCGTCATTTGTCAGCGAGTACAATCTATAACGACCGGACCCCGGTGGGGTGGGAAAGAGTGTAGATTGTAATGTCGCGATGTTTCTTAATAGAGAAGCAGATAAGATCACCCTCTCGATTCTTTTTTTCTCTTTTATGTAACAGATTCATGCGTAACATTGAATAGGCGTATTTTCCTAGGGTATTATGTTTCTTCCCCGGGTGCTATAAATCGGAAGATAACGCCGATAACGTCGCCGAATTGAAGCCAAACGTTTTATTGGCACGTACTCACTATTGCAAGTAGGGAAGATAATTACACGAATCGACAATTTGTCAGCTTGCTCAAATGCTTTCGCAAATTTATTGTAACTATATTAAAAATTAAATGGCATTAATGTATGTATACATTATTTGATCACAAATGCATTCTTTTTTTTATTTTTACTAATTGATCAATTTTTCAAGAGATTTTATTACAAATAAAAAATTAAATATAAAAGCAATTGAAATGTAAATTAGCCGAGAAATACTTGAATCAATCGATAAGTTTGATGTAACGTAAGATGTATTATATTATTCTATAAAATATACCAATATTTTGAAAAAATCGTATGATTAGTATAATCGCGAGACAAGATTATCCAATTTAGATTAAGATAATATAATGAAAACTTATATATAGGGCTTATATAGAGGGAGTGAGTGGCATTGGGCTAGTTTCCTTATAAATCACGCGTAAAGAACATTTTCATGATTAATCGGCAAAGCGAGTAAAGCAGTCGCGCCACTTCAAATAGATCCGGCGTGTAATTCATCGTGTATAAATAAATAGAAATATTTACATAATTGCGCGGGAAACTTGTCTATCGCGGCCCGATAATGATCGCCCCGTGAGTCGCCATAATTTAGAACGCTAATAATTAGATCGATAATTACTAAATGCGGTCGCGCTCGTTCTCGCAAGATTTACCAGCGCTCTTAAACGATCTATCGGCACGATTGAAAAAAAATGTATTTTAATGTACCGTAACGATGCATCGATTAGCGCGGTAGCAGAAGGGAACACATGGACGAAACAGCAAGATCCGCCCTGCAATCTAGCATTAAAATGCACATTTAATCGCCACTCGTTAATTACGGAAATCTCGGTTACTTCGAACAGCGGCAATTTTCCGCTGAATTTTATAATGCTTACAACAGTTAACAGCTCTCAATTGAATATAATAAAATTCTGTTTATCGAAATGCTCATCTTTGCTGAATTTAAAGTTTTCATTCAAATAAAACTAAGAATTTTTCTTGTAATTTCTACAACGATCATACTATTAATTAAAATTGGACATACTATTAATTAAAAGAAAAATGCACGGAGAAAATTTTCTCTTAGAATTTATCCTGAAAATCATGGTAATCGTGGGACAATATCGTATTGGGAGAATTTTATAAGAGTTTCTCTGATTAAATATTTACCACAATATGATATAAAATATGTTCAATTAATTTTATTACGTATGCACACAGTGAATTTACACATTAATATTTTTTATATAATAAATATTAATCAGAGAAATTCTTATAAAATTCTTTCAATAGGGCATATTGTCCCACGCGATTACCATAATTTTTAGGATAAATTCTAAGAGAAAATTCCCTCTGTGTGCTATTAATTAAAGCCGATAGTACTATTAATTAAAAGAAAGAAGAAAAACCGAGATAATATCTTCTTCTCTTGTTAACAAATTAAATAAGACACCGAACCAGTCGCGATCTAATGTCGTATCATCAGCATATTAGGAGCTGACAAATTAATCGGGCAACGAGAATAGGGTTAATAAAATTCCGTCACGGTGTTGCCCGCAGCGGGCGTCTTCACCTTTTTCCCGAGGAGAGCGCGTAGCACGCTATTATTATTCATAAACCGGTCTATTCTCGCCCTAATCGAAATCAGGACGCGCCATTAAATTCCGGGGGCCGCGCCCTTTAATCGTCGCCTGACAGCGTTACGGGCGCGATTTGTCATCCACGAAATTGAGTCGCATCTGCACGGATGAACGCTGCGCGAGAGACGCGCGCGTTCGGATGCTGCGCTTCCGACGAGGCGCGCGCGCACACACACACACACACACACACACAAACATAAGCTGAGATTCTCTCTCGTTCATTGTGTGAAGCGCGCGCACATGTCTCGAATCCACGTGGAATACGCGCGCATTCGCGACTCTAATACCATCGTACGATCCTCGAGGGCGATATAATGCTCGAGAATACACACATATGTATATATATATATGGGACCATTAATATATGGCTGCTGGGGCCATTGTTGCGAATTAGGTGCCCATTGAACGACGCATTGTCAATGACAACGGGGGTCCGAGACGGAGGATGCGACATGTATACCTCCCTCGTACTACCAACCGCGTTTTGATATACCTCGTAAGTGGACGCCCCGTTCTCCCAACACGGATCCCCTTTATGTCAATGCGTTTCACTCTCCCACCGTACGAATATAAGCTTGGGATTGCTAAGAGATTAATAGAGTTGAACATCCTTAAAAGCATTCGTGCTTCGCGCGCGCGCTTAAAGAGATATATCGATATATGCTCGATCAATTTTTTTTCTTGCAAATAAATATCTGACGGACAATTAAATCTCTCTGTGAAATATATGCATATATGTATAGTGGAAAATCGCTTTTTATCATATCTATTTTTTTGTCATAACCATAAAATAACACATACATATATATATACACATAGAAATATAATTATATATATATATATAAATCTAATGATACGTACTTTTATGTCTTATCAGTCTGAGAAGAAGAAGAAGGAACACTTTTCAAAGTTATGATGAATCGCTGACACTTTCAATATAAATACTTAACAACAATATAATCAGATTTGCACAATCAGTATTCACTCTACTTCAATAGTGGTTATGTTAAACTCGTGGCGCCATTATGCGGATAGCGGGAAAACTAATGTAATGTCGATAATAAGTTTCCGTCTATACCATCATGTCGATAATGTCGATAACTACGTGAGTCATTATCGACTCAGCTTTAGCAGCTCTTTGACCAACGTCGAGCATTACATATTGGCCAAAGCCAAGATTGATTTCGACAAAATTACCTGCAATATACTTTTAATTATATACACATTAACAGAATACTGATGTTCATATTATTGGTAGATCAACTGCTTTGACCGAAACAGCCCCCATTAGCCACTAAAGTATATATTTATGAGGAAAGCTGCATTTCGAAATTCAACTTTATATAGATAATCTATATATAGATATATATATATAATAATATTAGATATATATCTTATATATATTATTAGATATTTGCTTAGATATACATTATATATCTAGATATCTATATCTACTCTAGTAGATCTCTATAAGAATATATATTCTATCTCTATCTAGATCTCTATCCAGGATATCTCTCTACTTATATTATATATCTCTCTACATATATCGATCTATTATATTATCTTCTATTATATATATCTTATTATATATATTTATTCTATTTACCTAAAATTTATATCCATACACCTATATACATATACATGCATTAATATACATGGGTGTGTGTGTATAATGCAATATTTATATATAAATAACACAAACAATGGATTTCCAGAGTACGCACAGTGAATTTCAGATGCAGGCACACACTTGGTACATACAATATTTTCCATATAATAACGATCGCAACTTTGCGCACTTCAGCAGGTACAAGAAAAAAAGGTTGCGATACCTGCGAAGATGATTTCTTCATCAATTCCGAGCAGATGTCGGATGTGGACGTTGTGGCGATGATTGTTAACGAAGCACCGACACTTTACGGAACACTCTTAATGACTCTTTGCGCGCGAAATACACTTTTATACAGCAACGATCGCGAAAGATATACGGAATGCGCCGAGCGTGCGACTTTGTATGTACGCCATTTTACGTTAAATGACCGCGATTTCAAATCTACCAAGCTGATGCTTGCGATTCTCGAAGTCTCGAAATAATCGATATATCGACGTATCGCAAATCGATTACGTCACTTTATGTCTTTAATGATATAGAAGATGCGATAATAATTAAACAGAATTAATTAGCTTAAAAATAAAATTCGAAATATTTTCAGCAACAATATAAATATTCGAAATAGATTGAAAAAGAAACGTTACGTAACGCGATGCGTAAAATATCTCAACCGAGATTGGACGGGCATTTAGCCAGTCATAGCTAACTTAACCCAACCTAACGCAAGTTTCCCGGTGCGAGAAGCGAAGAGGGTCATAGTACGGACGAAAAAATACGTCAGGAGCGGAATCCGTTGATGGGATTAGGTCAATGAAATTAAAGGAGAGTCGCGTTTATATCTGAACTGACAGCATAACTTTCCCGGAAACATGTGGCTGGAGGAGTGCGACGGTTTTGCCGAGCTGTGTCGTGGATATTTGCCGTATTATTTGTTAATAGTGCTGCCGATCTTCATCATCATCTCCCGGTTAATCCTGTGGCCGCCTCGCACGAGTTCCCCGTATACCGTATGCATCAGTACGACTTGCACGAGTTCCACATGGTGAGATACTAGTAATGTCTGTGATGATTTCTGTGGAGATTGTACGGTTCTCAAAGAAAATTGCAATTATTCCCCACCAGGTTGTCGAAGCGCCCCTGTTTCCCTGGAGGCGAGATCGTTGACTGGCTGGAGCACTTCCAGGCACTGTGTCGTTGCCAAGGCACTGGATGTCACACCGTCTGTCTTCCAGTCTATTAAAAACAAGGCTGGTGCATTGGTGATCGTTTTACCTGAGAAAATGAATGAACTTACGATGGAGGAAAGAGAGGTCGGTAATAGAATATATTGTAGCTTCGCAAGATAGAATTATAAGGCGCAACAAATTGATACATTTTTTATTTTAGCATGTTATAAATCTAGAAGCAACTATGCTATATGGTTCCGAGACAATGATACCGGTATACTTTGCATTGTGGCACCCAGAGCTTCAAACAATTTTGGATGATATTGCGGATGGCTTTATTACCGATGAAAAAGCTGGTTCGGCAGCAGAGGCCATGTACAATTCAATTTCTGCTAGTGGTTATCAAGTAGTAGTAGCTACTGGACAGGCACTTCCTAAAACAGACATTAAAGTTACCACATTGCATGGCAAATTAACTGGAACTGGAGCCGAGGAGAAATTACCTACTATAGCAATAGTAACACATTATGATAGTGCTGGTGCAGCACCTGTAAGTTTATTATTAAATTCTGTATTATGATAATCAGTTTGTACTCACAATCAGACAATTCATTTTACTGAAATTGTAGGAACTGTCATTTGGTGCAGACAGCAATGCTTCTGGCATAGCTATGCTTTTAGAAATAGCAAGACTGTTCTCTGCTTTATATTCAACTGGTCGATCAAGACCAAAATATAATATTGTTTTTATTGCAACTGGAGCTGGTAAATTAAACTACCAAGGTAGTAAGAAATGGTTAGAGGATCAATTGGATGGACTTGAGGGATCTATTATACAAGTAATGCAATCACAATTAATATCAATTAAATAATACTTGTGTGTTTAATTTCACTAATCTTTTCATTATTTTATCTATAATATTTAAAGGTGATTTATTTTTGTTATAGGATGCAGCTTATGTAATCTGTCTTGACACACTTTCGGCGAGCGATAATTTATTTATGCATGTGTCAAAGCCACCCAAAGATAATTCGTCTGGTGGTCTATTTTACAAAGAACTTATAACTGTGTCTCAGTCTTTGAACACAAGCAATATTACAATTCATAAGGTGCATAAAAAATAAATCTTGCAGAAGAAACATTAGCTTGGGAACACGAAAGATATAGCATTCGCAGATTGCCAGCTGCAACTTTATCCACATTAAAAACATGAAGATCCTGTCAGAACTACTATATTAGATATTGCTAAAACGAACAAGTAGATACATTATATAAGCATACCCAAGTTATATCAGAAGCATTAGCACGTCATGTATATAATTTGAGCTCTAGTCAAATCTTTGCTGGTCCACTGGTATGTTTGTATTTTTAGTCATTATTCTTTATATTTTATATATCTGAAATGTATGTATGATGTATGTATGTATGTATGTATATATTGATGTATGTTCTTAACTAAAAGATTTGGAGTATATTACAAAATTATTTGTTACAAGTTTAATTTATATCATGTATATAGCTTTATTAATTGATGATTTAAATATTAATGCAAATAATGTACATTAACAGTACAAATCAATTTTTATATAAAAAGCTTTCTTTGCAGGATGTATCAAAAGAGTCACTGTCTTTATGGTTTAATTTCTTTGCTTCTCAACCAAGAGCAGCATCACTATTAACAGATAAACATAATGTACTAATTAGTGCATTGAAAGAAGCAATGGCAAGATATTTGGGAGATATTAAAATTACTTTCCATATTCCTGATAAGCGAGATCCAGAATTTGTATTTTATGATGTTGCAAAAGCAACTCTAAATGTATATAGGTAAAGTATAGTTATTTCTTTTTTATACATATAGTATATACATTTATGATATATAATATGTACATCAGTTGTAATGGTATAATTATTTTTATTCTATTACAGTGTAAAGCCAGCTGTGTTTGACCTTTTTCTTACAATCGGCATAGTTTTGTACTTGGGAATATTGTACATGATTGTGCATAATTTTTCACATGTTTATTCCCTGGCAACAAAACTTTCTGCAAAGAATAAAACAACTTAAATCTTATTTTACATTTTCGAATAAAAGCAATTTTTGGACATCAGTTTATTAGTAATGTTAATCGCGATCTATATTGTAAAAAAGGTTGATCTAGGGTTCTTATAGATAATAAACATTTCCTCCAAAGTACTATAAGTACTCCAAAATAATATATATATATTGATATATATATATATATATTTTATATATATTGATAATATATTTAGATATCTATCAAAGGTAAATAATTTATGACAAATCCAAGTATACAAGTTTGTTTGTGTGCTGTATATTTGTTTGATAAATTTTTGATTATAAAATAGTTATAAAAATTAAGTATTTATAATGCTCAACTATATGTCGCTATCTTTTTTAACCTCTTCCAGCAATAACAATTATTTAGAAAAGAAATTTTCTTATAAACGATCTTTTCTAGAATTCTTAAATTCTAGTTGAACAAATGAGAAAAAGTGATAAAGACCAAGTTATATGATCGACCAAATAGTGAGATCGAATGTTTACAATAATTATATATATATATATATATATATATATATATATATAGGATATTTATATTATATGCAATTATATAAATAGATATAAAATTTCATATATCTAGTAGTACATAGGAATATTTTAAGTTAATATTTATCAAAGATGTTTTACAAATGTTCACTAACTTTTATTTCTTAGAACATAAACTAAAATTGGGCTCAATTTTTTTTTAATTGAATAAAATTCTTTGATCTCATGTCTAAGATATATCTTTATATTTTCTTTATAATACATAGAAAAATATGTTTACAGAAAGATATAAAAAGAACATAACTACACACACACATATATATACATTGGAAAGAGAATAATATACAATATATATTCTAGAATATATGCTTTAACAGGTACAACCAAGAAGAAAATACTTCGACTTATAGCTTTTTAATAATTTTAATAAACTTTAATTGTAGTATAATGTATAATAGTATCCGCTCTAAGAAAAAATTTATTTTGTAATTTAATAAAATTTTCTTTTTGGCTGAACTGCTTTGTACAAAATAAATCTTTTTAGTCTTAATCTCTACTTTAAATCGTTCATGTTATACAAATATAAAGATTATGTGAATTAATTGCGACAATATGAATTATTATTTTAATATTATTTAATAAACAAAAATATTTTGACAAGTATCGTTTATGGTTAGTTGAATTCGACTATGAAAATTAGGATATATGATGGTAATAAGTGAAATACAAATATGCAGTATTTAATATATATAATTGTATCTTGTAATCAACGAGTAAAAATATAGATATAAGTAGAAATTTATGATTATCAAGAAAAGGATAAAATATATGGAGAATAAATTAAAATATTAAAGTATATCAATTGCATTAATAAAAATATATTAAAAATGTTATATAATTTCTAAGATTTTCTGTGACAGCATGAAAAATCATAAATTTTAAATACTTGAAAACTCATTTAGAAACTGCAATATTTTATATATATATATTTATATATAACTATATAAAATTTGAATTAAATTTATATAAATATCTTTATAGAGTAATATTAACAAACGATTCAGTTTACTCGATTTTTATAAACAGATTATGTAATATAAATGTTTTGCTTAGGTACACTACTACATTTCTAAATGTAAAACCGGTTTGACTACTTCAACTTGAGCAACTTAATTGCACTGTTTTCATCATTTAAAATCAGTGATTGCTTGACATCGTTTGAGGTCTAAAGCAGTAAATAATTGTGCAATATGTATAGAAATTTTAAAATAAGTATGTTTATTCTAATATTATCATTTATAAAATAACATTGTCTAAAATGATTGCGTAATGAAACTTTTTTTTCATATAGTTTTCAGAGTTCAAGATATCAAATGGAATATCTGCAGGACAGTAAATTCTTTGACTGTTCATATAAAACCTGAATTGGCAGCAATAGTACAAGCTGGTACATGGAAAAACGAGCGTATAATTGCTTCACCTCAAAGAACAAGAATCACTCTATCAAATGGGAAGAAGGCGCTCAATTTTTGTGCGAACAATTATCTAGGTCTTGCGGTAAGAAAGAAAATTTTAAAGCGTAATATATCAAAGTCAATATTGAAGCAAATGTGTCTATATTTTATGAAAATTAAAACAGCTAAATGCGTGAAACAGGATCTTTACAATTAAATTTTGAACTTAACAGGATAACAAGGATATTATTAATGCGGCGAAAATTTCCTTGGATAAATACGGTGCCGGTTTGAGTTCTGTGAGATTTATATGTGGAACGCAGGAAATACATGTTGAATTAGAAAAGAAGATTTCCACGTTTCACGGCAAGGAAGACACGATACTTTACGCATCTTGCTTTGACGCGAATGCTGGTATTTTTGAGACTCTATTAACTGCTGACGATGCTGTGTTAAGTGATGAATTAAATCATGCATCTATTATTGATGGAATACGTCTGTGCAAAGCGAAGAAATACAGGTAATCTCTGTTTTAACGTTTTTATAAATAAATTTTCTAACACGTTACATATTTCCACATATAAAATTTCTTTTTATTTGTAATATCAAGATACTATCACAGAGATATGACGGATTTGGAAAGTAAATTGCAAGAAAGCAAAACAGCACGTTTACGCCTTATAGCAACTGATGGAGTATTCTCTATGGATGGTACTGTTACACCATTGCCAAAAATAATCGAACTTGCCAAAAAGTATGATGCTATTACATTTGTAGATGATTGTCATGCTACTGGATTTTTTGGAAAAACTGGCAGGTATATTCTAAAAAATTTATGTGGAGTTTTGTCTGATGGTTAATATTACTTTTCAATTCAATTTAATTTTGATTTAGAGGTACAGAAGACTATTTCGGCTATCTGGGTAGTATCGATATCATCAATTCTACATTAGGAAAAGCTCTTGGAGGAGCAGCAGGTGGTTATACGACTAGTAAAAGGAGGTTGTCAGTTTGTTAAGACAAAAAGCAGACCGTATCTGTTTTCAAATTCAATTCCCCCGCCTGTAGTTGCATCAGCAATTAAGGTAAAGTATTATTTGGGTTTTATTATATTTAGTAGTTAATGATATCATAAATAGTGCATGCTGTTAAAAAAAAAACAACAGACAGAAATAATAAATTATAAGCATTATAAATGTTGTTAACAGGTAATGGATCTTATAACGGATAGCACGAGATTTTTGGATCGTTTAGCAGGCAATACTGAATATTTTAGAAATGCAATGACCAAAGCTGGTTTTATTATTAGCGGTGATAATCATCCTATTTGTCCTGTTATGCTAGGTGATGCAAAATTGGCAACAAAATTTGCAGATAAAATGATGGGTATGTATTTTTTTTCCTTAAAAATAACAAAAGTATTAAAAAAATTATATATATTATAAAATAAACAGCAGAAAGCTATTGCATTCTTTTTAAAGTTTTACATCTTATTCTATTGCATTGAGCGAATATGTTTCTTATAGAAAAGGGAATTTACGTTATTGGATTCAGTTATCCTGTAGTACCAAAAGACAAAGCAAGAATACGTGTTCAAATTAGCGCAGCACATTCGATCGATGATATAAACCATGCTGTGAACGCTTTTATACAAATTGGAAAAGAACTTGCAGTGATTAAATAAGTATGTTTTTAATGATATAAAAGTAAGTGCGTATGATTGATGTACATTTTTCTAATATGCATTTTTCCGTATGTGTATATACATATATGTATATACATATTCTACATATATGTATATACATATTCTACATATTCTGTCACATAAGCTAACTTGTATAATACAAATTAATATTGCAAATACATAGTGCGCACAATGCAACACTGAATTTATTAACATGTGCAATAAGAAACATCGAGAAGTATAATAAAAGTTTAGCTTTTTTTATACAAATTTCTAACACGAGGTTGCAAGTGTATAAAACTTCGAATTCGAGATATAAAGTATATATTGTATTATTAATCATTAATTACATAAATGCTAAGGCTTGTATGGTTTAATGAGATTTTCTGAAAATTCCCTGACCTGTTGAGCTCCGCGTACTTCCCTTTCTAATAAAGGAAGCTGTGTTATGTGGAAGTCCTCGTAAAGATCCAATATCTTAGAAAAATTATTTTATAGAAATTTTATTATATGTATATATATGCTATTTTGTATTTGAATGAAATAATACAAAATATTGCATTGGAATCTTTAGAAAAGTATAAATTGCAATGTCATAAATCCAAAATTAATTACCTGATCTAGATATTTCTCCTGAATTTTATGCCTTGCGAGACATAGCCGACAAGGGAAATCTCCTTCTTTTAAGAATAACAGTTGGTTCACTATGATATTATGGGTGTCAATACCATATTTTGTTAATTCTTGTACAAGTCGTTCTGTTTCGTATAGTGATAGAAATTCTGCTATGCAGACACATATAAATGTCGTCTGATCAGGATTTCTAAACTGTTCATTAACTTGTCGAATGACAGCAAGCATTTCCTCCATCTTATTGGAAAATGTATCTACACTGAAATCTGCCAATCCCAACAATGAGCTTATCTAGAATATAAATTCTTTAATTTGAATCATTCAAAGAACACAATTTGATATACTTAATATGTATTAATTACAGATAATCACAGTGTGGGACGGATTAAATATCTAACCTGTGAGATGAAAGGACTAATCTTCATTTTCAAACGCATTAATTTTCCCAATCCTTTCTCAACTATTTGTGGAAATGATAGTAGCCTTAGAGTATGTCCAGTAGGTGCAGTATCAAATACCACAACGGAAAAGTTCATTCCTTTCACAAGCCTAAAGACATCCACATAAAAAGGTAATTAATAAAGAATAAAAGAATTCAAAACTACATCAAATAATTTTAGTTAATTATAAAAAGAGATTGTTCTTTTAATATATTACAAAAGTAAATAAGAGAAAATATATATGTATAAATTTACTTCATAACTTCTGCATAGCTCATTGCCTCATCTATACCAGGAAATGCACCAACAATTTCTTGCATAACACTTTTGCTTAATCTCATTGCTTCTCCTCCTGAAACTAATGGAAACAAAACATTTTTAAGAATAATTTCTTGCAAAAATATATTTAGAAAGAAGTTAAATAGCTATCACATTAAATTTAGTTTTTCTTCACTTTATATATGTGCAGCAATTATTGCAACAATCATTCTATTGCATTTTACTATTATATATAATAATTATAAGAACTTCTTTGATTTGAAGACTCGTAAAAATATTGAACAGTATATAGCTGTTTTGAAAACAAACCTCCTTCGCTATCAAAGTATTCCTCTGGTAATTCTGTAATACCAACGTTAGGATCGATCTCCATGGCAAATAAATTATCGAAACCCTTAACCTTTGTCGGTACTTTGCTAAATTTCTGATCAAATGCATCGGAAATATTATGTGCCGGATCTGTGGATATGATAAGTACATTCTCTCTAACCTTGGATAGCTGTATTGCCAGAGAACAACTGCAAGATAAAGAACGATTCTTATCATTTTGCATAAATTTAAACAAATTAATCAACAGATTTATATATAGCATATGTTATATATTTTTTTCAGTAAAATTCAGTATTTCAGTATTTCATTGCAAAAACTTTATATTTAGACAGTGAAAGAGAGAGAGAGAGAGCAATTTTTGATGTCTGTCAAGATAATTGCATATAAAAATAAACTTTTTTATGAAGTCGTATCAAGATAATTGCATATGAAAATATATATATATACGTCGAATTCTAATTTTCCTGATTCATCTCGTCGAATTGTTGCTGACATACGATTTTTCCTTCCCAGGTTATGTGTACCTGCAAGTTGTTTTCCCGACTCCGCCTTTGCCACCCACGAATATCCATCGTAAGGAACGTTGCTCGATCACATTTTTGATGGAGGGCTCGAAATCCTCCATCGCCTCGTTCTCGGCCATGCTCGTCTGTCGGACAACGGTGACAATGCAAACCTCGCGCAAAGGTAACACGTAATCTTTTTATAATCGTCGCGCGTGTATTAACGCTGATGCACGCGGAGGTGTAATGCAAAAAAACACGACTCAGAGACTAAAGTCTTGCGCACAACGCAACATCAAATATGCCAAGAGAGAGATCAGTTCATTCTAGTTACACTTTCTGCACTCTTTCTCTCTGCATGACGCGAATTCTTATTAGCATATAATCATATAATAATATAATAAATTATAATATTA